CTGCTGAATGGGTGCGACTGTCTAGAGGTCTGACGGTATAAGTATTCATTCAACAGGCTTATTTGTTCAAAGGTCTGTGTTTCAGGCTCCCCACAGGGGCAGTTCGTGTGATGTGGGTAGCGACAGGATATATGCAAAACCCCAGCTCTGCGTGCTCTCCTGTGCCTGATCGCTGCTGCTCTAGGCTGTGTACAAATTCAGCAGTCATCGCTCAGCTCCTCAGAGGAGGCTGCAAGAAGCATGAAGGCCCACACTTGTTGATAACGTTTTATTGTGTTAACACCACTGTTTTCAAAATAATAAATATTAATGTTTCCTATTTTGTCTCCTTATTTCCTTGTCAGCATCACCCTTCTGTGGCAAGAGGCACCTGTAAGGAAAACTTCCGCATATCAATGCACTGCCAATGGTAAGTACCTTTTTAACTGACTGAACGTGGTGTGGTTCCTTCCTGCAGATATACTGTAAGCCATCTTATATTGCAAATAGTATTTTTAGAATAACCACTTTTTAGTACACAAGTGGATTGTTTTAACTTTTTAAGAAACCTCTAGACTGTTATTCTGTTTGACAAAAATATTACGACTGCATTTGGATTTTATCCCGGGGAAAGTAGGGCAGCATGTTAATTTTGAACTGAGAAGTGTGATTTGACATTAACACAGCTCATCCTGTTGGTAACTGGTTTTGCTTCCTCTTTTGGCCAAAAGCCTGTTTGGGGCAAGCTGTAGCTGAGCTGAGTGCTCTATTGCCCCCACTTGGATGCTCTCTGCAGTTTGTTTCAGTACTAACAGCTTCTCCTATATAAAAAAAAAAAATAAAAATGCAGTGTCAGGTGTATTTTGCTTTAGTACGTTTGGCAGCATGAGACTAGTGAAGATAAAATCTATAGAAAGGGGCTTGGTTGATGTGATCTTCTTATTCCATCTCTGGAATATTACTCAATGTTACAGAGTATTGGAGGTTCGTATTTGCAGGCTGTCTTTATGGTTTAGTTATGCTTCCTGATCATTGTGCAGATGGAAGGCAGAGATGTGGTCTGAAGGGAGGGACTGGAACTTACTGCTCCAGCTTTGATCGAATAAGTCATTTGGTATCTTGTGTTGTCACAGCTGAGGTGTACTACAAGAATGGTAATTGCAGCATTAGCCTTAAGAAATAAATGCATAAAGTGTGAGCCTGAGTTTTGTATTTCAAGCATCTCTAGATTGTTGTCTCAGGGCAGAAGTTAAGGGATAGTATTTGTAACCACCAGCTTTGAAAACTCGGTTTGGGATCTGAGAGCTGTGCTGGGTTCCATTGGTTGCCCGTGGGTATGGATCCAAATAATATGGAAATAAATTATAGGCTCTCTTATACCTTTGCAACTCCACTGTGTTTCCCGTGTGAGTAAAATGGCACTCCAAGAGAGTTTACTTGGATTTAACTGCTTTACTTTGAAATGTAGTAAGTAATTCTGTGAGTGAACTGTAATGCAGCATGTATTTTGCACTAAGTAAAGCAAATACAACTCTGAAATCAGAAGATCTGCACCAAATGTGTATGTCATTTAGTAGCCTGATGTTTAGGCTCAGAGTTGATATGTGTAAAGCTTCTATTGATTTGGGATGAATTTCAGCTGGTGGGAACAGATTTGTTGAGCGAGAAGGCATCATTTTTACCTGGTTGCTTAGCCTGGTCTCTTAACTTTCCCAAACTGAAACTAGCAGTGCTCTCAGCCTTTTCTATTTTTGTGAAGTTTTCATTATTGTTGTTGACCTTTTTCCATCAAAAAGCTACTCTGATTTCTTTTTATTTTGTATTAGTTGGACATGGTTTTAGTTGTGATTTGAAATACAGGTCTGTATTACTGCTTCTCTTAAAAACATGACTCATTCCATATTAACCTAGTCCTTATACTTCATAAAATTTTAAAATACTGAGAGACTGTACTTGAAATGTTACTGCATTTTGTCCTAATTTTCCCCCTACAAATTATATTAGAAATTCAGAATTGCACAGTCTCAAGGGCGTGCTAGTTGTTACAGTGATCATAAAACATACTCAACTGTTTCTTGTAGTGAAGTGAAATACTCCCCACTCTTTTGTTTAAGGGCTGCTTTTGTGCTATAAGTTGTTATATTTTATTATTCTAGAGATTTCTAAACAATTACTCATCTCTTAATTAACTTTGAAACAGTTTGAATGTAGATTTAAGAGACAAGCTAGACATACTCTTCATCATCCCAAAAGTAATCATAACTTAATCTGGTTTATAGTAAAGACGACTTTTATAGGTTTTTATTATGTTGTTTTTCTCTCTGATTTTTATGGGCCAGAGGTTGACCTTAAAAAAGCAGTTTGTGTTCTTTTCCCAAACAGGACTTGCTTTAACTTGGCTACCCGTGTTCAATACATTTATTTCGATCAGAAATGCGTTTCTGATTGTCTTGAGAAACGATACTAGCATTTTTGATCAGTTTTTTAGTCATGATTGTCAGTTCTGTTTCTTAGTACTCAAAAAAAAAAAAAAAGGTAAAACACAGAAGTTACACAGCCTCTCTTGTTCTTTCTTTGCTTTTCTATTTAAAGATAATTAAAAGATCCTTTTTTTTGGCATCATATATGATATGTTAAATGGTAACTAAATAGGGTAAAATATCAGTTATTCCTTAAAAACATATTAGAATTGTTGGCTTTTTTTTTTTTGAATGAAACATTTGCACTGTGATATAGCCTGCTAAAACGAGAGTATGGCTGTGTTCAGTCAATGTAAGTTCTCCTTCCCATTCTTCCAGTCAGCTGTAAGGTTCCTCAGCGTCTCAAAGGGAAGATGCAAAGGCTTAACAAAAAAGGCCTGTTAAGTTAAGGAAAATTAGTGTATAATGCTACTTTTTCTGGGATTTCAAAGGTTCATTTAGAGGCTGATAGCTGGGTCCTTAATTGACAGTCACAAGGACCCATGAATGTGAATTGAAAGTCCTGGACCTTTGGCCTAAGCAAAAGATGACATCATGTTTTCCGCAAAGGCTTTAGCAAAATAATTTCTTTGTTATGTTTTGGAACAGGTAGCTTACCTGAGGGAGATTTTCATCATACTTTGCAAGGCTTCTCTTGCGAGTTTTAGAAGCAAAACAGTTTGCCTTTCTGTCTTCTACCAGTCATTGAAGCAAGCTCAGGAAGCATTTGTTACTAGGTAGGGCATGTAGTGATAGGATGAGGGGGAATGGCTTTAAGCTGGAAGTGGGCAGGTTTAGATTAAACATTAGGAAGAAATTTTTTACTTTGAGGATTGTAAGGCACTGGCCCAGGTTGCCCAGAGAGGTTGTTGAGGCCCCATCCCTGGAGGTGTTCAAGGCCAGGCTGGACGTGGCCTTGGGCAACCTGGTCTAGTGGGAGGTGTCCCTGCCTATGGCAGGGGGGTTGGAACTCTTTGATCTTCAAGGTCCTTTCCAACCTAAACCATGCTATGATTCTATGAAGCCTCTGTGTGTGTGTGTGCGTGTGCATATATATGTGTGGCTATATATGGGTGTGCTTGTGTGTGCACGTATCTATATACACATAGGTGTATATCTACATACATAAAAAAGGAGCATGCAAAACCCAGGAATTTACAGACAGCTAGGAAGTACCAGTTTGTGACTATCATACAACAGCTTGCTGTGATGGATTTAATTTCGTAGGAAGTAACCAAAAAAGGGCTACGGAAGAACCAAGCAAGAAAGGCAACATGGTGGCCTTCTGAGAGGCATCCTGAAAGACTCTGTGCCCAGGTTCTCGGCTCCATCTTTTGCTACCTGGTTAGTTTGACTAAGATCAACACACTGATCAGTTAAAAAGGTCTCCTGCAGAAGAGAATAGAGGATGTTATCATTTATTACAAGCTGACACAGGCAAAGTCTGAGGATAGGCAGTGAGCACAAAGCTGCTTCATCTCCAGGAAAGTGGGGTCATCAACAGCTAAGTCACGTCCTCAGTCTTTTGAGGGGAATACATAGTAGGTGGTTTAAATCAGTTCTTTTCAATGCTCTCTACTTTTAGATGAATATATCATACTGTGCTTTGAAGGTGTAACCCACCCATTACGTGTTACATCAACTGTTCTTACATGTAAGAGACCTGTTATAGGAGAACAACTCTGCAGGCACTGACTCTTTTGGGCCAGGAAATTCCATGGGTGCAACACTTCAACATGATTATCTACCCAGTGGATTTAGCCCAGAAACGGCAGGAGTGTTTGGAGGAACTGGGGAGGATGAATAAGTCACTCCAAAGAAAAAGGCCTTCAG